GGCAGCATGAAATTCAAGCTGGGCGAAAACGTATTCGATGCGCGCGAGCTTGATGCTAGGCTCGCCGCGGGATGCCCGCATGCGAGGAAGTCTGCTCAGATGCGGGCTTCTGATTCTTGCTCGTGAACGCGCTCGGCTTCGGCGTTCACTGGGGCCCAAAGTCGCGATGGGGATCGCGTTCGACGACTGATGCGTCGGGCGCCAGGGGCCCATAGCCTGGGCGGCGGCCCGCCCGGCCAAAGGCCGCCAAGGCGGCGACCGCGCAGCTGGTGGCGCCGGTGCGCGAGGTTCCCGAAGAGAAGAGCGAGGTCCTGGCGAGCTCCGCGGGGGTCGCGAACCTGGTGGCCAAGCAGATGGGGGCATCATCTTCCCTGTGGCGGAACGGACTCCGACGAGAACCTTGGGGCGGGCTCGCGCTCGGAGAATCGGGCGCTCGCGGCGCCGAAGGGCAGGCGCCGGCAGGCGGGGGCGCATCTACAGCGGCTGCGTGCCATCTGGCAGCAGCGCGCTACTGCGACAGCGAGAGCGGCGAACGCTGGTCTCCGACCCGCTGCGAGCTATGGCCAGGGCGCGGCGGGGTGGCCACCCCCATGGGTCGCTAAGTGGAGGAGGCGCGCCAACGCAATGCATCGCGTCAGGGGGGTCAAAGAAAGAGCCTCAGCCTTGACATCCTCCTCGGAGGAACTCCGGGTAGCGACCCGCTGAAGGGCAGCGCGACGTTGCCCGCCATTGCACGGGCGAAGGCGGCGCAATTCCACAGCGGCGCGAAGGGCCCGATGGCTGCGGGGGCGCGCTCGCAAGGGCCGCGGATGCGCTGGCGGAGAAGGGCCCAGAACAGCTCGCAGGAAGGGTCCCTTCCGCGCCATGTGCCCTCGCGCGCCACCGCCCGAGGCGGGCTCCAAGGCCTCGCGTCGTCTGCGCCGACGAAGGCAAAGCGGTCGACTTTGGCGAAGCTCATCGCGGCGGAGCACGAGCGGCCGATGCGGCAAGACGCGGGCGAGCACCCTAAACTTGCGCGCGCGGCAGGGGGCGGGGCTCTCGCTGGAGCGATGCAAATCGCGCGCAAGAACAGGCGCGCCGGATGGTCGAGGAGATCAGCTCCGCAGAGAGCGCCACGGCGGGCTTCGCGTCGCCGGTGGGGCGCAGGGCTGCGGTAGAGCCCCCTGGCGTCTTCGCTCTGGCGCCCGAGTGGACGCGATTCAGCACATTTTGCCTTCGGCGCGGCAATGCCCTGCGACGGGGGCCGCGAGGGCCGAGTGGGGGTCGCGCGACGACGGTGGCGAGTGGGGGCGGCCAGACGACGCGCCATTCGGGGCCATCGTGGCCATTGCCAGCGCGGACTTCGCAATGGGCGCGCCGCGGTCGAGAGGGCCTGCGCCGGGGCATCGTCGGCAACTGCCGCCACCCACCGAGGAGGGGGTTTCGAGCGCCGTAGGGCGCAACGATCTTGCGGGGGAGCCGCTGTCGGGCGACCGCCTCGCGGACAGCGCGCGGCGCGGAGGGCCCCGGCCTGTTCTCGGCGCGCGGAGGATGGGCGGTGTCAGTGCTGGGCGCGGACTCGGAGGCGGCCAGCGTCTACGGGCCGCTGCCCGGGCCGCGCCTGCGGGAGTCGGGGGCGGCGGAGCTGCGCGCGGCGACGGAATCAATCCGAGCATGCCTTACACCTGTTCTGGGCGGCGTCGAGGCTGGATGGGCTCGGCGCTTGTCCTGGCAGCGTCCTTATCGCGAGCTGCGGGTGGAGGTGCGGGCGGTCATCGAGGACGTCGGCATGGAGAACGCGTCGTTCACCAAAGTCAAGACGCGCATGACGCTGGCCGGCGCGCAGGCGGAGCGCGTCGCGGATTGGCAGCGTCGGGGCAAGCACTGCGCAGACATGAAGGCGAGGATGGCGCGCAAGATGAGCCCGACCGACGAGGAGCTGAAGGAGCGACGAGTCCGCCGAGACCGCATCGTGGGCAAAGTATTCAGCTGGATCGGCGCCGCCTTACGGGAGGGCGACTACGTGCATGCAGCGGAGGACGGATACGGCGCACTTGGGCTCGACGTGATTAGGCGCGAGTGGGGCGACTGCAAGCTGGGCTGCAAGGGCCTGCGCAACTTCCCCGACTGCGGGCGGAAGACGCGCGGAAGGCACGGCACATGGGTGGACGCCAGCTCAGGCGTGACAGCCTGGGCGCGCCTGCAGCGTGCTGGCCGCGGCGCTGCGCTGGCAGGCCCGCTCTCCTCAGGTGGCGAGAGGAGCAGCGGAGCGGTTCCTGCGGCTGCGGCTGTGCTCGCGAAGGGGGCTGCCTGCCCTTCTTCTCAGCCAAACGGCAGGCGGGCAGAACGACAACGTGGACGGCTCGCAGGCAGCTGTGGTAGTCGCTGGAAGGAAAATACGAATACCAGCAGCACCAGCACAAGCAGCAGCCTGACAATTACCAACAGCACTGGCAACGGCAACGCCAGCGCCAGCCAGTCTCGGAGCAGTGCTGGCAGCGGCGTGAGAGCTGAGGGCGCACCAGAGGGAAAGGGCCGCAGCCACCTCCTTCTTTGTTGCCCCCATGGTGGGCGACCGAGACACACGAGAAGCTTTGGTGGGCTGGCAACCACCCCTTCTGTGAAGTGCGGCTTGTGAACGAAGAGCGTGGGGATGGCGGGCTTGGCGAAGGAATGGCCGTCAGAAGGCAATGCCGGTTGGGCTGAAGCGCGGCTTCCAGCCTGCAGGCGCGGGGGCCATTTGCGTTCCCGAACCAGTACTGAGGATGAGGAGGCGTGTTTCGCCCCAGAGGTACCAATGGAGGCCAGTTCACAAGAAACCTTCCACAAGAAACCCAATCGTGAGACCCCAGGACGTCCATCGATGTTTGGTGTGGGAGCGTCATGCTTTCCATGACAAAGCCATCGAAACCCAAGAAACCTAGGGCACCCGGGCACCCTGGAGGCAAGCAGGGTGTTTCTTGGCATGGGCCCCCACTTTAGTTTTGTTTCATTGATCACCCGGGCCGCATGCGCGCGGAGGGAACAGCCCTCATCATTCTCTGTGTTTCTTCGCGGCCGCTGTTGATACGGCCACTCCTTTGCAATGCAGCTGGCAGCCCACTGTGCGGCCACGGCCATTCCACTGCAGCTCTGCCCGCTCGAAGGTCGGAGGCGGAACCCTGAGTGTAGGGGGCACGCTCCTGACGCTTGGGATCACCCTCCGCGCCAGGGGGGAAGTATGCCGACAGTTCCTGAAGGCTCCACCCTGGCCCGACCCACGGACAGCAGGGCTCTCTTTCTTTCGCTCGCCCTATTCAGGGCGGAGGCGGACCAGGGGCGAAGTCCTCACGACGATCGGGATCGTCTCCGAACAACTTGGGCAAGTAATGTATCGGCCTTTATCGATTGTTGCTGTGCACAAATGACAACTGTGCCTTCACACTGGAAAGATCAACCCTCGCCTTTTTTATATCCGGGTGTGCCACCCGTTGGTCGCTGTTGTGCGGCCACTCGTGCAAAGTAGTAACGGGTGAATGTAAGAAAGTTCCTTCCGACGCCCGGGATTTCTCTCCGTGTCGGGGTGGACTTAGGCAAGTTTCGTGGGCCATCAGGGCCAGCCTCTGCCGCAACGTTCGCGTCCTCAGCTCTGTGGCGGAGGGGAACGAAGAGCGTAGTCTCTACGGCGCTCGGGATCATCTCCGTACCTTTCAGGCAGCTAACGTATTGGGCGCCGCCTGACTGTTGCTGGGCTAAGGGGCTATGCGCTTGGCGCGAGTCCCAATGGAGCAGGCTCGTCTGCGTTCTGCTGAGCGGCCGTGATAGCTAGGATGGCAAGACTGGTGCCAGCCTCGGCAGTAGCACCAGATGCCCTCTGCGCTCTCGAATTGATCGTTGATCGTCTGCGAGTGTGCCCAAGCACGGGCCATGGCCTTGCGACCGCAGCCCCGTATGGCAAGGCCTTGGCTGCGGCAGCTTGTATCGAGCGGGGAACTCGAGGCCTCCTCAGACGCGTGGATCATCATCATCATCATCATCACCATCACCACCATCATCATCATCATCATCATCATCACCATCAGCATCATCATCATCATCATCATCATCATCATCGTCATCGTCATCATCGTCATCATCATCATCATCATCATCATCATCATCATCAGCGGCATCATCTTCGTTGTCATCATCATCATCGTCATCATCATCATCATCAGCAATATCATGAACATCCTCAACAACATCATCAACACCATCATCAACAGCAACCTCATAATCATCATAATCATCGTCCTCATGTTCATGCTCATCCGCATCCGCTCATCCTCATCCTCGTTCTCATCCTCATCATCATCGCCAACGTCATCGTCATCATCAAACATCAGTGTCAGCATCAACATCCATCGTCATCGTCATCATCATCAGCATCATCAGCATCCTCGTCACCGTGACAAGAACCATTACCACCAGCATCATCATTATCATCAACATCATCATCATCCTTACCATCACCATCAACATCACCATCACCATCACCATCACCATCACCATCACCATCGCCATCGCCATCGCCATCCCCATCCCCATCCCCATCCCCATCCCCATCCCCATCCCCATCCCCATTACCATTACCATCATCATCATCATCATCATCATCATCATCATCATCATCATCATCATCATCAGCATCAGCATCATCATCATCATCATCATCATCATCATCATCATCATCGCCCTCTTCCTCCTCCTTCTTCTCCTCTGTCCCTCCCTCAAGCTTCCTCCTCCTCCTCATCCGTTCCCTCCTCCGCGGCAAAACTCACTGAGGTTGTGGCCTTCTAAACATTGCTCTGCAAACTCTGACGTCCTAGTGGGTCGGGGAAACCAGGCGCATAACTCACTCGAGGCCGACGTCAAATACACATCCCATTATGCTCCCATGATTCTGCTGCTCGGCATACTGCGGGGAATGTATCTGATGACCCACGCCAAACGAATCCAACATCTGCTGCATGCGCGCTACAAGCGCACACAACCCGAGGAGCCTCGGGAGCGTCGTCGTCGGACATATCCTGTGCGGGCGCGGGGTGCTGCTGGCACCATATGCGTCATCCACCCTGCCCCGCTACTTGTGGCTACTCTTGGATGCTGTTTCGTCGCCGCGAATGATGCTGTCAGTATGCAATCCTTGGCAGTGTAAAACTATAGCATACCCTCCCCATTTTCCAAAACATGTTCGACACCGTGGACCCTCAACGTTGAGTCATGGCGCTCAGGATGTGTAAATTATGTTGTGCAAATTGCAACATATGTGGTGCGACTAATGTTACCTGCGCCGCGAATGACCACCTCCCATGCTCGAACAAACATCCGGGCCACCCACCCGCAACTCTTTGGCAACACTTGTACCGACCGTGGGTGCGGTTACCCATCGGAACTTGCTCACCAATCTCATGTGGCGCACTGGCGCGCGGACACTGCACATGCAAATCCATGAATACACTGCCGTGACGATCGTCAATGCAGTTTGGTATGATGTTAGAATATTCAATCCCTCTGATGATTCCTAAGATGCGCATGTGGCTCCTGCTCTCTCGCGAAATAATTCGGGTCCCCCTTGAATAATTACTCTGTTATCTGAGATCCGGATCGGAGGTTACTCCGCCCAATCTTTCATGACATTGGGCGGGATGCATGCCCGCGCGGAGTTTTTTCAACTCCGCCATTGTCAATCATTTCCGCGCAGACCGCATAATACTTTTACCACGGCGATGTAGGGTGGGCGATTGATGATTGTGACGATGTCGGCGACGACGATCATGGCGATGTAGATGATGATGACGACGATGATGATGCTGATGGCAATGATGACGCTAGCGATGATGATGATGATGATGATGATGATGATGATGATGATGATGATGATGATGATGATGATGATGATGATGATGATGATGATGATGGTGCTGATGGTGCTGATGAGGATGGTGGGAACATGCGCGAGCGCATCAAGTCAGACCTTACACAACATTCAACAGCCATTGGGATTCCGTATGTACTTGCACACATTGGTCTTGAGATGCTTCAGCCAGAGGACCATGCTGTTGGAAGAACTTCGTCGTGCGCGCGATGAGGCGCGCGAGTGTGGCCCGCACGGTATCAGCTGAATGTGCTCGACATGCGCGCGCGTGGCCCGCATGCTCCCATTGGACAGAATGGCAAAAACAACGATGGTCTTCTCATAACCTGTCAACTTAAAAAACAACAACAAAAAATTACAAAAACGCAAAAACATCTGTGCACAAAATGTTTGATTCGATATGCCGTGAGATTATGAAAAGGCCGGTGGATGTTTGTTGCTCGATTACGACATGAACGTGCGGCGGCGAAGGCATGTGGTCCATATGGTATTGTGTTCGAAAAAAGACGCACTTATAACACCAACGCATGGGCACCGCATCATTCTGTTGCGAGGGATGCGGGCGGGGGGGAGATGCTTGTCGGCCAGAGATGCCTTTATTTGCTTTTCATGACATGCGCGTGCAAACAACACATCCACCTGGGCTTTGCGGCGACAGAGACGATGACAATGACGATGTTCATGACGACGGTGGGAACGATATCAACGACGACGAAGGTGATGGCGACTATCGCGGTGGTGATGCAGATGATCATGACAATAACCATGTTGACGCTAGCGATGATTATAGCGCTTGTGCTGGTAAGGATAGCATTGAGGAAATGCGCGCTCGTAGAAATCCAGAGTGCCTGGCATAACGTGTGATGGAAAACATTGCGGCGTGGATGTGTAAGCACCTGTGTTGGGATGTTTAGAAAAGTAGATGGGTTGAAACGATTTCGACGTGCGCGCGCGGAGAACGTGTGCGATCATTATGGCGATGCTGGTGGCGATGGCAATGATGACGCTGGCGATGATGATCACGATTGTGCTGGTGAGACGATAAAATCAAACAATTCGGATTTCCTAAACTATTTCAACTGGGTGTGCATTTGGTTCCCGGAGGTTTGAACAAATGGCGTTGAAATCCTTGCTGGGCCCATGGCTGTTGCAGGAAATTGCGTGCGCGCGCGAAGACGTTCGAGTGGCCGCACCACTTGAATTGTCAAAGATGGCGGGCGCGGGATGGTTGTTGAACGTTTTCGAAATGCGCGCGCGGGGCACGAATGCCAACAATTGACAGAGCGGTGGAAAAGCGAGCGCCGCGTGATTCCAGCGAATGCGCGCACGCAAAAGTCTGGCAGATAGCACTGAATCCGTACAGTCAAAACCTGCCATAAGGACGAGCGGTAGAGACGCGAGACCCCTGGAGTTGGGACACGCGGGCAGCGGGCGGCCGAAACCCCTGGGGCGCGAGGGCGCCCTGGCCCGCCCCCGCCCTTGCCGATTTGGCGCTGAGGCCCACGGCAAAGACGACGCAAGGGCGCCAGGGATCTGCTCAAGCCCACGGCAAAGGCGACGCAAGGACGCAAGATCCATAAACTTACCTGGCTAGTGATGGGCGGGTGCTCTCAAAATCCGCGCGCCCCTCCGGACATGGCGCCATCGGGGGCGCGTGCTCGGGTGGGCAGCGCAGCGGGGGCAAGGGCGCGAACGGGGCCCTCGCCGTCTCTGCGCCCCTAAGGGCGCCTCGCCCCGCGGCCGACACTGTGCGGGTCGAAGCGGCAAGGGCGCGCGAGGGGCGCCCGCCTTCTTCGCGCCCTCATGGCGCCCCATCCCGCGGCCGACGCGGTGCGTGCCGAAGTGGAAGGGGCGCGCGAGAGGGCCCTGCCTCCTCCGCGCCCTCAGGGGCGCCCGCCCCGCGGCCGACAGTGCGCGGGCCGCAAGGGCAAGGGCCTGCCTTCTCCGCGTCCTCGGGGGCTCTCGTCTCGCGGCCAGCGCGGCACAGGCCGCAAGGGCAAGGGCGCGTCAGGGGGCCTTGCCAGTTCCGCGCCCGCGGGAGAGCCCAGCACCGCGGGCGACGCGGTGCGCGCCGCGCGAGCAGCGCCTATCATCGCCATCATCATCATCATCAGCATCAGCATCAGCATCAGCATGAACATGAGCATCAGCATCAGCATCAGCATCAGCATCATCATCATCATCATCATCATCATCATCACCGCCAGCTCCACCACCACCACCATCATTATCGTTATCACCACAATCACCATCATCGCATCATCATCATCATCATCATCATCATCATCATCATCATCATCATCATCATCATCATCATCATCATCATCGAATCACCACCATAATCGAGACATCATCATCATCATCATCATCATCACCACCACCACCACCATCACCATCACCATCACCATCACCATCACCATCACCATCATCATCATCATCATCATCATCATCATCAGCATCATCATCATTTTATCAGCATCAGCATCAGCATCATCATGCAGCGTGCAACAGCGCAGGGGTGACGCGTTGCACCTCGAAAACTCTGCGAGGAACAAAAAGCGATTGTTCCACTCGCATTCTGGATGCCCGCATGGGACCGCACATTGTAAAACAGCACGAGGGCGACATCAGCGCGGGGGCGACGCGACGGCCCAGGAGAAGGCGACGCGCCAAAGGTCGGCCGAAAAAGCCCCGTCTGGACCCCCGTCAAACCAACGCCGGCCTCGAAGGAGAAGAGCGGCCGAAGTCAGCGGCGGCGCTCCCAAGGGCGGCCAAGGGCCAACGGCCCCCCGCTTGGCCCGCGCCCTCAAGCCCACGTCCGCCCGTGAACGCGGCGACAATAGAAGGAGGGGGCGGCGCGCCCGGAAACGGCCAGGGGCGGGGGAGATGCATGGCCTTCGGGGCGTCCGAGGAGGGCGGCCGAGGGTGCCAGCAACGCGCTCAAGAGCGGCCAAGAGCCCCTGCCCGGCCAAGTCCGCCTCGCGAGCGAAGCGACGGCCGAAGCGGGAGCGGCGCGCCCGAGGACGGCCGAGGGAACCTTGCCCGGCCCGCGCCCTGAAGGCAACGTCCGCTCGCGAAGGAAGAACGCGACCGAAGAAGGCGGCGACGCGACGGGGGGGGCCCTGCTTGGCCAACGCCCTCATGGCCACGCCCGCCCGCAAATTAAGCGACGGGCGAGGGCGAGGGCGATGCGCCGAAGGACTGCCAGGGGCACCCTTTCAGCACGCGTCTGTAGGAATGCCCCGAGAGCGCCCTGAACGGCTAAGGACGGGCCGCAGAGGCAAGGGCCCAAGGGTGCCCTTGGAACAGGCGGGTGTCCTTATCACGGGCTTTGACTGTAAATCTTGCCTGGTGTTTTTTGAATGATTTTGGCCAGAGCGCGCGGCGGCGGGCGAGCGTGGCCCACGTGGTATTATTCGACTGGGGGCATAACAAAACTCACTCATAACATCAACGCATGTGCGCCGCATCGTTTTGTTGCGAAGCATGCGGGGGGGGGCCGTTGGCCAGGATTGTCATTGCTTGAGTCTGATGCAATGCCCATGCGAACAATCCACCAACCCGCCCGCAACTCGATGGCGCAACTCAACTGGGCGGCGACAACGACGATGACGATGGCGATGTTCATGACGACGGTGGGGGCACTGTCAACGACGACCGAGGTAATGGCGATGAAACTGGTGGTGTCCAGAATGGATACGGAGGTTCTGATGATGATGATCATGACGATTGCCATGGTGACGCTAGCGACGATGATAGCGATTGTGCTGGTGAGGATGACGTCGGGGAAGTGTGCGCTCGTAGAAAACCAGAATGCCTGGCATGACGTCTTCGAGCGCCAGTGTTGCTATTCTTTGGGCGGGAAAACGGTTTGAGGAATATGTTGACACGCGCGCGTGGATAACGCGTGCGAGCATGTGGTGATGATGATGACGATGACGATGGTGATGATGATGACGATGATGATGATGATGATGATGATGATGACAATGATGGTGACCATGGCAATGATGACGCTGCCGATGATGATCACGATTGTGTTGGTGGTGCGATGGAGATATGCACGCTCGCATAATTCCGACTTCCTGACATGTTTTACGTGGTATGCATTTGGTTGTCGGATGTATTTGAGCACATAAATGTTGATAT